CCTGCTGCGTCTGGCTCCGTTATGGTTTTAGTTTCCTGGTCCTGATTCCCTGTCCCGCCGGTCCCGACCCGGTTCTGGTTTTTAACTATGGATGGATCCCCTGCTCTTGGACTTAACCTCTCGTCTTGGATTCCTCCTCTGGATTTATCCTTGGATTGTTCGCCCTGGATTCACTCCCCCCGGACACTAGCACTGCATGGACACGCCCCCCTGTCTCCTGACCGACTCCTGCATGATATTTTTCCCCTTGTGTCTTCACTATTCTGGATCGCGTCGTCCGCATAGGGCCCGGAAAGAACTGTTCGTGACACCTCCACCACCACCAATATGCAGCATCCACCTGGATGATAGTCTTCCAGTTCGGCCGGCACCTTCAGCTGAATGTCTAGAAGCTGCTGCTCACTGCAAGCGCAAAGAACACAGCTTATTTTCCAGGATCCCCCATTGTAGCAAACCTCCATCACCTTGGCAAGGACACAGAACACAAGCCTCAAAAGGGCTGTCGGGTAAGGGATGGAGCAGCACTCTACCCCCCTCAACGGGCCTAAAGGCTTTATTTCCTACTGCCTGCAACAACACCGAAATGAAGTCCGAGAAACAACAAAAATCTGAAATGAGGGATTTGATGGCCTTTCTAGTGCAATATGCAAGATTCTGAATTTATAAAAAAGATAAACATGTAAATGATACATGGCAAAACTGTTCTGTGCATTGACTTAGATTTAGTTTGTGATGCCAATTTTATATCTACTAAAATTGCATTTTAACCTGCAGAGAAAAGGCACATCTGTGTTGTGAAGACATGATAAGAAATTTGGGAATGATGAAACCGGGACTCGATTATCCTGCTGTTGCAATTTCTATTCTTGAATGTTAATTGTTCACAGTGTAAAAACTGCCATTCTTATATCAAGGCTTGATGAAACTATTAATGATATTTGGTACATTTTGTCTGGAACTAAGCAACACAAATGTTAGTTAGGATTTAATAAGTTAATAGACTGTGCTTGGACATATGGACTGTTTAATTTGGTGCCCTAGCTACTCTGAAATGAACTCCTTTTAAAGGCCATTTGTAGACTAATAAGATTCATAATTTGAAAGCAATTTGTTCTTTCATTTTCCAATCTCATCTAGCCTCAGCCTCTGCCAAGAAGGAGATCGGCTGTTTAATTTTTTAATGGTTTCATTAAATCCAGTTCAGAAAAGAAAAAAAAATGCAATCTATGCAATTCTGTGGGTGAATCGCATGTAGTGGAAATCAGAGGCCTCAGCTCTCTGAGCCCGAGCCACACGAGCTACGTTTTCTGATTATCAACTGCAGCGATCTGCGTCAGACAAACAGAACTCAGGAACAGTATGGGTCACGACTTCTGAATCTGTCAGAATCACATCAAAGATAACGAATACTTAAAGTGACGGAGACGTTTTGCTTGCACATGGAAAGACAGATGAGTCCTGACTGTATATGGATTTAAAGGACATATTTTCTTGGTCTGCAATTCAGCTAACATCTGGCAATGCCATCTCTCTTCAATATGATTGAAAGCATCGAGCAACATTGCTTACTCTACTGGAAGATAATGAAGATATTTTTCTTATTTACAAAATAATTAGAAATCAACTAAAAACTGACAACGAGACAACACAAGAAAGTGTTTCTGTAACAACTGATTTTTTTGCTCCCAACACTGATGTCTAGGCAGCAATTTGCCTCTTGCCAGCAGACAAGGCGTTCTCCATCGCCCCAACTCCATTTAAATAACTCTTATCCTTGGCTTGAATAATATGGATTTTAATTCACTCAGCTCCTAACCTCTGTAATTACTTATTAACACACGGTCTTGGTCTGTGGCAGCCTCATGCATTCGGCGGTTAATGTGGGTCATGAGCCAGAGACTGTAAATGAAATGGGTCATCAAAACCTCCACCCAGTCTAAGAAATCTCATTAACATCCCACAGCTGTAATTACAAAAGGTACCTGTCTTTATTTTCTTTTGTGTAGGACACGTTGACTGCTGCCCACTGACTCTTGGAGTTGAAGGCCAGTAATTGAAAATTATATGGCTTTATTGTCTGCTTCTACAGGTAACAGATCTAAGAAACCCCAATGGCATATAGTCCCAAGCAAGAGAATAGTACATCCTTTTCTATGTAGGCTTATATTAATACATAATCGGAGGCTGAACTTGTGTCCTCACCAAAACTAAATCTGTAATCCTATACAGTATCTTTGTTAAAGAAAATGCCCCATTTCATGATCACATCAGAAATCTGACTCTTGAACATCAGCCCTTTCTCCTCTACGACAGTTGGCAATCAGTTGGTGTCAATTCCATGCTAAACTGTTCCAAGTTTGATGATTTTATGTCACTTGCGAAGCACTGCAGTGCAAGACCCTGATTTTTTGTTATCAGATCAGTTATGCCAACAAATTAAACAGCTGATAGATTTGTCTATGCTGTGGAAACAGACTAATAAATGTTATTTCACTGTATATAAATCACTAAAGCTTTTCTACTGTATATCCTTTCACATTTAAACACACAAGAATACTTGCACAGACTGAAGAAGTTCTAAAGCAGCACTTTTTACATCAAGTGTACGGGGACTACAGTCTCTTCAGGCATGTCCTCTACAAATCATGTGCCTGTCTTTCCATTTCATTTCTTCCTGCTTTCCTCACATTCAGCTGAGCTTTCCTTGGATTGCAAACTAAGCTTTTAAAAAAATGACGTCCTTATTTAACCAGACGTGTCGATTAAGAAAAAAAACCTCTAATTTGCAAGGACAACCTGGCGAGTACCAAATTATTAAACAGTACAGCAGGACCGTTTACTACACCAATCTGTGTGGTGCACAAGAGCAAAACAGCTGCACCCCGCGCAGGGCCTGAACCCTCCAGTGCACAGTCCAAAGCTGTAACCAACCCCCACACTGCTGCAGCATACTGGTTAACAAACCCCTAGCATGCGCACAGACCAGCGCCTTCAGAAGGGCAGACAATACAGCCAGAATAATCAGAAGACAAATAAGCTGGCTTTCCCTGACACAGAGCTCAGCTATTACAATATTTCAGTACAGAATATTGGGATTCACAGCACAACACAATTCTTTAAATTCTGGTCTACCTCTTGCTTGCACAGACCTCTCTGAAAAGCTGCTCCCCATTCACAAGCCATGACTTTGTTTCCTTCAGCTGTTTTTGGAGATGAAAAAGCAACAATGCCGGAGAAGTACTGCTCTCTGCAGAATGTGGCTGGAGAGGGTTGCTTTCACAGTGAGCCACACAAGTGCAGTAATGGCTCACCCCTGGACTCCACAATCATGTCCACAATGCAATCAGACAGCACACACCGGCTCACCTGAAGTGGCTTTCAGGGACAAAAATGCTCCTGCTGACTCCCCTTGGGCACGTGGTGAGTTTTGCAATATCAAGCTAAAATGCTCACATCTGAAATCCTCTTCGAACAAAAGATGAGAGTGTTGAAATACGGCAAAGCACAACTGCACGTTTTTCATATTATGTTAACTAGCAAAAAGAGAGATATTTCAATCTGTATTTTTGCTGTAGATGAAAAAAAGGAGAATCCAAAGCCTTTTACACTGGTTCTAAAAGAATGAACCTGTAAACCTCATGCAATATTGTCTAAAGTAGTACCGCAATTACTTTGGACATTCAATGTGGTTTATTTTTCTTTCATTTGTGAAAATAATGTTGACAATGTTTGGTGGTATTCTGAGTCCTGGATGCAGAGTTGGGTAGCATAATGCTCAGGCTATTCTGCTTTACTCCTTAGGACAGCTACACTGGGCACTGCTGAACTAGCTGCTACACTTCAAATAAATACACATCGCAGCTGGTGTTTCTGCATCTGGATGGCTCACAGGTTGCCACCAAGAAACAAGCTGCGCCTTCTAATTCAGGTTGAACTAAAACAGTGTAAGAAGTACATACTGGCAACAGCAGAATCTTCATTTTCTCATGGCACCTCTCACTATGGGTGCTGCACCAGTTGCCACATTCATGCGCGTTCCTGAGCCAAGAACAGCACAAACAGGCAGCATGAGCTTGGACATCCGCAGCCCCACTATTTAAGAGCCGCAGACTTCTAAATAATTCAAAAAAATGGTCCCTTACAAGTTAAGACTCCACGTTGCAGGGTTTTTCAATTACTGGACGTCATTAATAAAAGAAGAAAACAAAGTGCCATTTACTGACCTGGAGTTTTGTGAAAACTTTAGTGGTCTCTACGAACACGTCATACTAAATCAGAAGAGGACATACTGTATATAAAGCTCAGTTCAGTTTATTTGTCATGCGCACCAGTGCAATTAAATGCTTATTTGCAGGTATGCTCCAATACAAAGACATGAAAGAAATCACCAAAAACATGAACACAGAACAGCAGCAGCGACAAGTTAAGCAACATAGAACTGAAACATAAAACAAAAAAAGTCAGACAAGCAGCGTGAGAAGCAAAAAAAGGAATGAAGGAATCGATTATTTCTGAAATTTAGGATAACCAAAACCTGCAACACTTATCCTTGCATTTTTTAACTGCTTCATCCAAATTTAGGGTCACAGGAGCCAGAGCCTGTCCCAGCAAGCAACAAGTGCAAGACAGGTGCAAAAACATCTACTGTATGTGCAATACTACTGTATATAGTAATCATGAGATCTATTTCCTCAAGTGAAAAATACCCATTTAATAATAATAATAATAATAATAATAATAAACTTTATTTATAAAGCACCTTTCACATAAATAGCAGCCCAAAGTTCTTTACAAACCAAGCGTGACAAAATCTTAAAATTAAGAGATATACTTTCCGTTGGTGAGCTTTAAAAGCAAGTTAAAGAACTTTAAAATCTATCCTAGATAATACAGGTAACCAGTGAAGTTGTTTCAAAACAGGAGTGATATGTGTTCTCTTTCTTGTTTTTGTTAGGATCTGTGCTGCTGCATTTTGAACAAGTTGTAAGGGATTTATTGTTTTCTTGGGAAGCCCACTAAACAGAGCATCACAATAATTGATGGCATGTACAAGTTTTTCTGCATAGCCCTGGGATAAAAAAAGGCCTAACTTGTCCTCGTGTGTGGGCTAATGATTACAAAACACCAACAAGTGTCACAAGAACTGCACTCACCTCCAATCCCAGACTGCCTGCCCGAAGATGCAGTAAAATTACAACTTTCTGAGGCCTTAGAGATCCATAACACAGCATGCGGTGACAACTGAAAGCAGCTAATGATGCTCTCGAACACAGAAACCTGACCGCAAAACAAACACACAAACGACAACTTACCCGTCTTTTTAGGTGAGCTGCAGACATGACACAACGCTGGCGGAGGAGTTCAGTGGACCACCAGTCTTCAGAGCCCGAGCACTGGGCAGAAACTGAAAAAAAGGGGGAAGAAAAAGAAAGGGGGAAAGGTTATTTTTTTACGGCCTGCTTCCAGCACGTTCAGCATTGTCAAGTGCAGGTGAGCGGCAACACATGCACTGACATCACCAGTCGGGCTGGATCATGTTCTACCACTGCTTTGCCAGGCCAGCTGACCCAGCACTGTCCACCTCCTGCAAGGTCACCTCTGGGTCTTTCCACATCTATGGGCTTGGAGACACAAGGTTGCCAAGGGGACCCCAGCAGAAGAGATCTTTAGCAAGGAGCAACATCTCAACACAGCAGAGGACTAAGCATTCTGACAAGCCACACAAATTTTAACCTCAGTCTTAAAGTTGGGCTCAGCAATTAATCGACTTGCATTCTTGGCAGTGTGACGTTTTGAGCCCAGTGACTCAGTCACTAATTTCGGCAGGTTTCAATGTCCTAACGAAACCAGAGGGCCTATTTCGCGGTACCAGATATCTTAAAGGACTTTGAGTGGAGTGTCCAGAAAATCCGCTGTAGAAGTGTAAAGCAAACAGTGCAAACTCAAACAGAATTCATAATCTATTGAAGCTTAACATAGCAATACATCTTAAAGCCAGTTTATTGTAACGTGGTCAATAATCACACAGACTAGTGGTAATGAAAGCGCTCTTTTACTGATCACAAAGGCATAGAATGGCTACCCTGTTTTTTCTATCAAAATAAACTTTATTTCAAAAAAACATCTGGCAATAGTACACATTCTCTCAAACAGTACACACTAATTGTCCATTATCAATCCATGCAAGTGGATGATGGGGCCGGATTTGCGCCATGAAAGAGTTTCTCCAAGCCCCTCCAAGCTCCAAGAATGCGGTCTTCCAGTCCTCTGCAGGAGCTCGGGGAACAGGGATTTCCTCTTTAGTCCCTGTCCAGGGCCCACAGTACCTCCCAGCGCTCCCTCGCCATGGGGAAACCCCATCTGGCAACTCCTCCAGCTTCTCCAGGATCCTCTGGTCCAGCTCCCTCACTCCCCAAATTGCGCTGTACTGGATGAGTGTTCCTCGCCTTCCACAGTCCTTGTTTTATCAAAGCAGGAACAGTGTCCCCTTGTCCACTGCGGTGGGTGCCAGCCCCAGCAGGATGCACTGGTAGCTGAGCACTGCTCCGGCTCCCAGGAGTTGCACAGTGTTGTCCATTCTGCCCCACGCCGCTCTGGACAAGGGGCAGCTCCAGAACACGTGCTCCTGAGTCCCCTCGACAACACACGTGTCCCGGGGGCAATGTGTCCCTCATAGCGGAAGAACGTTTTACATTCTTGAACTTTAATTCCAGTTATCTCTAAATTAATTGAGTCCACTATCGGAAAGCCACCGAGGAAATGTAAATAAAATCACTGTGCAGCGGTACCCACACTGTACTACCGGAGACGTTCTTACACGCAAGTCAAGTGGCGGGAGAATAACAAGCTATCCACAATAACGTGATCTCTTCTCTTCTTGTTTGGTTTTTGTCAACTACTTACAAACCATACTAACCACCCGGATATATTGTTTTTCCTGTAACAGTATCCTTTACCCTCAGTAACACCGACCTCCACGGCTCGGTTTCTCCGCGCTCCTCTCGCGTGGTCGGGCCGTGTGCAGGGCAGGAACTGACCGGGCTGCAGCGCGTCTGTCCGCAGGTCCGCAGGTCCGCGCAAGGCGTCCACGACTTGTACACCGCAGGACCGCGGCGTTTGTGATGCGGTTTACTGTGGAAGCGCGCTGCTGCCATCAGGGAAACAAATCCAAATAAAAACAAACAATCTCGTAATTACGAGGTAGCAGCGATCATATCGGTGTATGAAGAACCTGTTACATTTGCAATGGCAGTACCTACAGTACAAGCTAACGACAGCTTTGCATGAACTGGGGGTTTTGCGTACCTAACAATGTGCAAGGTTGCGAAATGCGCACAGATTGATTTTCCATCAGGTACTGTAGATATGATATACAGTATAACAATTTGTGCTATCGCGTGATCACGATAATCGTGTAATTACGAGATACTGTAGCACATTCTCGCGTGCTGTACGTGCTAGGCGTTAGCACAATTGTCATATACTGTACATATACTGTACTGTGTTCTCTTTCTTCTTTTTTCAGCATGGAATAAACCTACAGTATTACTTGTTCCTTTACTGTACACAATGCCTACATTATGATTTTCTGACCTTCAGTTTTAAGCAGTGGAATCGTTTCCAGGGCACTCTTGTTCTTGTTTGAGGATACGTGAGTGTCCCCATGGTTAAAACTGTTTACGTGTGGTACAAACTAACATTTCATTAGTAGAAACCAGAGGGGGGAGAGAGTCTGCGCATTTCATAGCATTGTCAGGAGCGCTAAACCCACAGTTCCAGCTAACCTACAGTATCGATAGTTTGTAGGTACTGACATTGTAAACGTAACAGCTTGTTCATGCACCGATATGATAGTTGCTATCTCGTAATTACGAAATAATTTGGTTATCTCGTAACCCAGGATTTTTTTTTTCCTTGGTGGCGGCAAAGCACATCCGTGGTTTAGGCATACGTTAGTTAAAAATATTTCTTTTTCGTCCAATTGCCGTCGGGGAGAAACAAAACTCATTGAAAGCAGTTTGCTTGTGTTTACGCGCTGCGTTTTTGCTTTTTCCGCGCTACCCCCTGACGTTTGATGTGTAATCCTTTATTTTTACAAGTGGACAATTTTTAGGGCGCATATCACGTGAAACTGTCAGTCCCGTTTCTAAATTGTTTTGTGAAATCTTTGCTGGTCGCTGTCTTTTGTCAAGTCATCGTACTGTAACTTTCCAAGCAGCCGCGGGGTCTTGTCATCCATCGTCGTGATAACGCGTTACAGCCGAAGAATGCCTGTCACGACGTTCACATGCATGCCAAGCCCGTGGGCTCCCACTCGATCAGTACTGCGGCGTGTGAGACTAATCCTTCTCAGGGGTCAAATACAGTATGAGCCGGCCTGTTCTCAGCAATTGTGTACCTGCAAAGAAAATGATCTCTAATGAGCTTACTGTGTTTGTTCTCAGTCGCTAAACAGAATAAAAAAAGGCCTGGGGTTATTTATGAGTTGTAGGGGATCAACATCTAGTCTTAATGAATGACCATGAAGGGCTGGCTAAAGAAACTATTTTTTTTTATTGTAAATGTTCTAAGCAACAACAGCGTTTGTTGTTTTTGTTCTCCCCATTTCGGAACAACAGAAATTCACCTGCTTCACCAGCTTTTCCTCCAGGATCTGCATTTTTTCTCACTTAACATGCTGTTGGGCTGTCATCATCAAAGCCATCTGCAGTTAATAATTAGTTTCTGGCTGCCAGGCTGGTTACATGTATTGATTGCAGGCAATAAATAATAGGATTCTTCAGGTTCTGCATGGGCTGTTACCTGAAGAACTCTGCTTACAGCTCTCTCATTGCCTCACCTGTACGTCCTCAGAATCACTAATCCACATCCTTGGTTTTTAAATGATGTTTTTTTATCACTTTGTTCACTTGTATTCTATTTGCCTCTACCTGAACATTTTCTCTTGAGTTTCTAAATCTAAGTTATGGTAAGAACAACAACTGAGAGCTTAATTAATATTCAAAATCCCTTGCAAAAGGCGTGCGGAAGAATGTCATTTACAGCATGCTGATTTTACATGCACATTTTGCAAATGGAATAAAGCCCTGTCCTGTTTCAGGAATTGTTCAGCAGCTCCATTCCTTCACTAGTAGTATTTGCAGTGCAGGTAACATATGAAGGCACTTGTGCCCCTGAGCAGCAGCAGAAAAGTACAGTAGTTCATTTCAAAGCAGCTGGATTCGGTGGATCACAGTCACACCACAGAACAGCAAATGGTCCTGAGTTTTAGTATGCCAGTACTTAAAAATTTTGGCGAACCCTCACTGTTTTTTAAAAAAACAGCACCATTCACACTCAGCTTGTGTGGGGTAACTGGAAGTATCTCAGAGAGCAGACAAAACACTTGGTCGTGAGTTTCACGCAGGGCCAGAAGTGTCCAGTGTAACGTTACGTACTGTGGTCTGAAAATGTGTGCAAGTCTGTTACACAGCGAGGCATAAACTGGGCACTGGTTGTCTATTCTCTAAGACCACAATGAATCAATCTGACGAAGAGCAGGGCCCTGCAAGTAAAATAATGACCGATTGGATTTTACTCTGAAGATGATCTACAGAAAGCCAGGAACAAGCCTACCATAATGTTAAGAGGCTGTTCACATCCCTTCTCCTGCCAGAGCTCTGCATAGATTAACTCTCAGATAAGGCACAACAGTGTAAACAGGCTGTGAGAAAGCAGTTTAATCTTGCCAGTTTTCAGACAGGCAGGGGTTTATCAGTGCCCTTGGGCTGCAGTTTATTACACACTTAAAGTAAAGTTTCCGAATATGACAGGACAACAGGGTATAGAAACCCACTCATGAACAAACACCTCTATGAACCTATTTTCAAAGTGCCGAGTGCATTTCATGTTGGCATTAAGCAAGTGCTATGAAAAGACCATGACAGTGTGCTGTTGACCTCTGAGGCTGTTTACAGAGTTTGAGTTTTACATACTGTATATTGCTGAGCAAAAGTCTCAGACATTATGCATCATTCTAGTCTTTTCACTTAGTTTTTCCCACTTTTTACAGAAACATAATCCCCTTCTCATCTTCATCTTAATGTTTAGACTGTTTCACCCTGATAGGTCCATAATTTGGATTACAAAATCATAGACTTTTAGCTTTATGAATATGTACAAAGGAAGGAATTAAATGACTGATGAGGAATACATAACAATGAGTCAATTACACGCAAGTGGTAAGTGGTGATGGATTAGCTGCTACAACACTTCAACACTTCACTGATTTTGTATAGTTTGCATTGAATTCTTGTCATCGGGATGTTGGAGATTCTGATCAATGTGAATTAGAGATTGCTAAATGACTTCTTGATTTGATTTCTTTTCACTCGAGCTAAGCTGAATGAATAAGTTAGAATAGTA